CCCCCCCCCCGCCAGCAGGCCCCACTTTCCTCCTCGTTCCTCACCCCAGCTCCCAGCAGGTGATCCCCCTCCCACATCCTCATCCTCATCCAACAAGGGAAGCGTCCGCGGCCAATCAGCTCTACTGGAGTAAGGACGTCGTTCAGCTGCCACCAGTCCCTCAACATGCATTTAATGAAGCACCTACTACGCGTCAGCCTTGTTCTAGGCGGGGAAATGGCAGAGAACAACGCAGGTACAAGGCCATGCACTCGGGGAGCCTGGGGAGACACCCCGAGGACCGTGCGTGCCACTGTAAACCTTATGTCACTGCAGAAATAAAGGCACGGGGCGCAGTTTCTTCATTGGAGGTGCCTTCCCGGCACCCGAGAAAGCCGTCCCGCGCTGCCTGGGAAAACAGCGCTGGCTGGGGACAGCCTGCTTCTGAAATTGTAGGAAGCCTGCATTCACTCCCAAACGAACCTCTCACTTTCACCTCCCCAAGCGTTTTCTCCTGAGTGCCTGAGCGTCGCTCCTGGCCTCTCCCTGCACAGCTGCCCCCACATCCCATCCTCCATGCACCCCCCTTTCCTCTCCATCCCCAGCACCGGCCCAGGTGGCGCCCTAGTACCACTCACCTGGGCCAGGCTACACTTTCCTGACTGGGGTCCCCAGAGAGGCTCTTTGTGGGCGGAGAGGGAGGAGAAGAGAGCTGGGTGGTTGGCAGGTTGGCAGGCAGAGGGAGGTGAGGGGGGGTCTCTGGCGCTCACCTCATAGTCCGGCACGAAAGACGGGAAATGTTCCTCGACGCCCTTCCCTTCATGCTGTTTCAACTGGACCAGCCTGAAGGCCTCCGTTTTCAAAAAGCTGGTGAACACTGAGCGGCCTCGTCGCCACAGTCCCTGCCCTTAATGTCAAGACCGAAAATCCTGGAAGGGCGAGCGGAGAGACCAGGGTTACGTCCTGCATCGACAGGTCCTGGGGCAGCAGGGGGGGTCCTCCAAGCCTGGGACTCTGCCTAAGCTGCTGGTCCGTGGGCCACGAGGATTGGGGATGCTTTTGGAAGCCGACAAAGATGCAATTCTGCACAGAAGTCTTTCTACTGGAACAGAAAGAGACAAACCCTAAAGCAGTGATGGCGAACCTTTGAGCTCGGCGTGTCAGCATTTCGAAAAACCCTAACTTAACTCTGGTGCCGTGTCACATATAGAAATTTCTTGATATTTGCAACCATAGTAAAACAAAGACTTACATTTTTGATATTTATTTTATATATTTAAATGCCATTTAACAAAGAAAAATCAACCAAAAAAATGAGTTCACGTGTCACCTCTGACACACGTGTCATAGGTTCACCATCACTGCCCTAAAGACTGGCTCCTCCTACTCCCTCCATGTTTGTGTCAATCACACTTTTTAAAAAAATATATTTTATTGATTTTTTACAGAGAGGAAGGGAGAGGGATAGAGAGTTAGAAACATCGATCAGCTGCCTCCTGCACACCCCCTACTGGGGATGTGCCCGCAACCAAGGTACATGCCCTTGACCAGAATCGAACCTGGGACCCTTCAGTCCGCAGGCCGACGCTCTATCCACTGAGCCAAACTGGTCAGGGCTCAATCATGCTTTTCGATCGTCTATATTTGTGATGCTTTGCCATCTCAGGGCTTTGCTGATTCTAAAGCAAGTGCCCCTAGAGGTAGTGAACCACTCGGCTTCCATACACATGCCAACCAATCGAGAGCCTCAGCCCCAGCCACCCCCTTTGCTGCTCTGTCCACCCCAGGCCGCCATCCCCTGCCCTAGTCACCCAGAGCCGGGTACCAGGCTACTAGGGGTCCCCTACATCCCAGGACCCACTGGGATTCCCCACACCTGCCAATCCTAAGCCTTTATCCTGCCTCGCAGTCCTTCCTTTGGAAACGACAGTAAAGGCTCTTGCTCACATCTCCCCTGTTCCTCTGCCTCCGGACCAACCTGGAGCTTCCCCGTGCGGCCCTGTGTCTAGGGACGGGCGAATATAAAAAACGCCTGTCTTCGCGACAGTCATTTCCTGACCTGCGAGTCTTACCACGTCTGATTAAAACAATTCCCAGGGCCCGGCCCGCTTGGCTCAGTGGTTGAGCATCGACCGGTGAACCAGGAGGTCACGGTTTGATTCCCGGTCAGGGCACATGCCCGGGTTGCGGGCTCAATCTCCAGTGTGCAGGAGGCAGCCGATCAATGATTCTCTCTCATCATTGATGTTTCTATCTCTCTCTCCCTCTCCCTTCCTCTCTGAAGTCAATAAAAATATATTAAAAAACAATTCCCAGATACCTTAAAGCAATAGCCTGCACCTGATCACACCTGATCAGCCTAGACCTGTGGTCGGCAAACTGCGGCTCTCGAGCCACATTCGGCTCTTTGGCCCCTTGAGTGTGGCTCTTCCTAAGTCTTAGCAGTATCCTAATTAAGTTAATAACAATGTACCTACCTATATAGTTTAAGTTTAAAAAATTTGGCTCTCAAAAGAAATTTCAATCGTTGTACTGTTGATATTTGGCTCTGTTGACTAATGAGTTTGCTGACCACTGGCCTAGACTTCTAAACGTTTCCTTCACCAGCCTCATCCCCTCCGGTGCGGAGAGAGGGCTCAGGGAGGAGCCCAGAAGGGAGGCGGGGCCTGTCTCAGGTCCCTGGCGCCGAGCAGAGCAGAGCACCTGCAGTCGTGCACGGCGTTGGAAGAAGGCAGCTTGCTGGGCAAGACCAGCTGCTCCGCGCCGGGCGCCCTGAAGACCAGGCAGTCGTCCTCGTAGGCGATGGAGACCAGGACCAGGCGGGGCTCCTGGCGGGCGGTGACCATGTGTCCGTCTTCCTTAATCACCAGCCAAAACCTGCGAGAAACAAGCCCGGGACCACTCGGGGAACCCTCCCCCTCCTCCTCCTCTTCTTCCCTCCCCAGGGCTGCCCTCTGGTTCCCTCTTGCATCGACCCCTCCGCCCTGGAACTAGACACGGGGGGGAAACAAGCCCCAGGGAAGGACAGAGCCAGGGTCCCGAAGCAGGACTTGGATTCGGCGCTGCTCCAGGCTGCCCCCTAGTGCCCATGGCATTTTAATGGTTCCTGCGGTTGTGCCAAAAAGCCAAAGGCAGGAAAGTTTATAACCAGGGGCAGACTCAGTCCTGCTACCCAGAAAGGAACTTTTAACCCTTACCCACCTTTCCCCAAGCTGGGTCAGGCATGAACTTGACCTTCCCAGCTACAGGATCAAAAGCAGCCCCGGAAA